GGACAAAAAAAAAAGCCGTTGCTTCGCTGGGAAGGGAGGACAGGTAGCGGCAGCCAGGGAAACCACGCACCCGAAGGAAAAGCCTTTCTGGAAGAAGGAGGCAGGGTGGGGATGTTGGGTGGATCGAGTGGGGGGTGCGTTTGCCTGTTTTTCCCTGGGGAGGAAAGCGATACAGGCGTCGGGACAGACCCGGTGAGATGGCCAAAGGGCCGGAGATGGGTGGCGGGAGGCTCGGGAGCACGGCGACGGTGTCATGTCATGCATTTAAAGAGATCTTGGAGGAGTCAGGACAGGGAAGCGTCGCTTCCGTAAGAGCGAGCTGCGCTTCCAAAGTAACTCACACCCCCTCTCCCCGGTACAAGAGCGAATTTCCATCTGCCCGGAGAGTGCTTGCATAGGGGCTGGTTATAAATAGCCACGCACAGAAAAATATACACTCCTCATCGCCGCGCACACGCGGGGCTGGGGACAGGGGAACAGGCGGAAAGTGTCGGTGTGCATTTGCCTGCCTATTTTCACGTCTGAAAGGTTCCTAGAGAGGGAGAAGGTGTGTAGATTTCGGGTTCATTTTGGAAGCAGGAGAGTTTTCTGGGAGTAAAATGCCAGGAGAGTCACACACAGAATCATCACGGTGCGGTTTCCGTCTCCCCCCCCCGCCCCAAAATCTAAACACAAACCGGTGGCACCGAATAAACTTGATAAACCGAGCAGAGTTTTTTCAACGAGCTCCCTCTCGTAATGGCTGTGTAATTCTCACAAGGTATTAAAACGCCTGGGTTGTTCTTTCTACCCCTGATTTCACTTTACTAAGTCTCCAGCAGATTAAAACTGTCAAGGGCGAAAAGCGTTCAGCGGCTTAGGTAGCTTGCATCATTCAGGGCTAAAACTCTTCTGTCTCGGGAGGACAGAGCCTGTAAGACACATAGTAGTTTTCGGTGTTCAAACAGCTTTTGGAAAGGCTGAAGATCTGCTAAATCGCTGAGGACAGTAAGGAAGGGTTGTTTGGGTTTTTTTTAAGGAGAACTTCCTAATAAAATCACTTATGAGTTAATGTTAATTTAAAAAAAAAATCCTAAAATTGCAATTTAACATTAAACAGTTAATTGCAAGTAACGTAGCCTCGAAAAATATCTGGAAAAATCTCCGGGATGTCGAAGGGCTAAAAGAATTTTTCTTCAAAAAAGATTCGGTCGCTATAACTAGCGGGGTAATTCCTCACTGACCCTCGCCAGTATCCAAAAGTGAAGGGAGAAAAAAAAAATCGAAAACAACAACAACAACAAAACCCCAAGTGGTCCAATAAATAGCTTTTTGTTTGGTTAGTTTTGTTTTGGGGGTTTTTTGTTTTCTTTTTTAGGGGGAATATTTTGAGGGTCCTATTCTCCTCACGCGAACAGAGAGGGAGAAGGAGGGTTTGCGATCTCTGCCCCGGTGGGGACGGATCGTTTCGGCGCGCAGAGGCGTTTGATTTTCGAGACAAAAGCAGAGGCTCCGTTTACATAAACTTTCGCCGAATCAGGATGGTTAACATTTCAATATTGAAACCCTTAATCTTGTTTTATTGTAAAGGGGGAAGAGATCAGCAGAAGAAAAAAAAAAATCCGTTTCCCACGTGGATAGGTGATTTAATGCTGTTTTTCTTACTGCTAAGGGAAATGATTGAGCATTAGGTTTCAGTGTTTATTTTCTTACAGAAGTTTTTCTCATTTAAGCTGCAGTTTACTCTCCACGCTGCCTCTCTGTTTAATTCCAGTTTTGATGTGAACTTATAAATGTGAAGTGCAGAACTAAACTACTAGCATGATCGTTGAAAAAGCAGATTTATGTGTTAGAAAGAACACTAAGTGAGATGAGTGGGAAAAAATCATATTTTTCTTTAGAAACATCCTCTCCCTTCTTAGTGACCTACGGCCGTTTTAGTGTTGGAGGATATTTTTCAACTTGCATGTAAATAGCGTGTGTTCGCAAGTGCATTGGTGCAAACCCAATTTCTTCGGAATAAGGGTTATTTGAATTTGCATCTCCTGTAGAAGCGAATAAGTAGTGGGCGCTCGAAAATTTCCCTGATTTTTTTCCCCCCTCTCTCCAATTTGGGCATGGTTCCGTTTGTTTGCATTTCAGAGCGCAATTCCGTTACCCCGTGCGTGCCAAAATGCTGGTATTTCTTTCTAGTCTGAATCAGCCTCGGCATTATTTCCACTACCGTTTTCTTAATAGGATTGTTTGTTTAGTCAACAGGACTTTTCCTCCCTCTTATTATTACTTTTATAAAGAAAGCGGGATGC